AAAAATTCTCATGTTAAACTATTTGATAGTGTCAGAGCTTTCAAACTGAGAATCACGCGTAAACCAGTATCGGGGGCGCATTTTGAACAAATGACGTTTAGTTATACAAGGTATTATGACTGTAATGCTTTAAACTACCAAGGCAGATCTTACTCTCTATTTACAATATTGTTTGAAAAAAGTCTCACGAAGTAATGAAACAACGGTATAGTTCTGCTCCATCTCCTTGAAATAACCGAAGAACATAAGTTATCTCCATGGAAACAAGAGCTGTTCGGAATGTTTCGTCAGCTTCTTTGGTCCCAGAACACAGCTTACTTTGCAATTCCTGCGAGAGAAAATGCGAGTGAGAGAAGCAAAATTCTTTTCATTTCCTAAGCCTCGAAGGTAACATCAACAAGTTTACCTCGTTCCAAAAATAGACTTTTAACTTTGTAGAAATCAACCTCATAATTTCGTCGAGTTTTGTTTCAGACATTGAATGGAAAATCTAGCCAACCCTATCTATTGTCAAAATAATTTGAGGATATCTTACCTCCTCCAATGTGTTCTTTTTGAAAATCAGATTTTGAGAGCATGAAAGAAGAAATACAAATGGTTATTGAAATATCATCTACATTACTGTCGTAACACATAATAACACAGATTTCGGAAATGAACTCTGTTTCAATGTAGGTGCCGTTGCCTAAGAGAAAAGAGCAGACCTGGTAACTGTGCAGTAGGATACTAGAAAAGCTCTTGTCATATGTCAATGCCCCGAGGCTGCAATGTTCAATACTAGCTTTTGCGAAAAACTAAACTTTTTGACGACGTCTCGATGCTTCAAACATCATCGTGAAATCAATAGCTTCAATAGAATGATAAATTGATGAGGGATTTATCTATTGACTATATTAAAACTTTGTTCAGATACTTTACGAATGCACCAAGATTAAAATGTGTACCCGTTTACATGATATATTCAGTGCTTTCCATTTCCTATAACCTCCAGTCCACGAGATCATGATTGCCGACTCTTGACTAGATAAAGCTGAAAACACTTGCTCGTTGAATAGCGAATAACATAGAATGTGTGTACCATTCAAGAACCTTCCCGAATAAAATTATACCACTTAGTATTAGCGAGTTCCTTACCAGGGCAGCCTGCTTGGTGAGGTCCTGCCGCGGGTGTCTTGCCATCAGGACAGCAGCCGTATGTCGTAGCTGCGCATGTGTTTGCCACCGCGTATGCTAATGTGGTAGGTGCTAGAAGATCGGGGATAACAAGTAAATGACAACTTACTAATAATGAGTGATCGAACCCCTTACTATGAGTTGTATCTAAGGGTGAACAAATATGAAAAAAATATAGTTGGTTTGAAACATTGCATGCAGTTCAAGTTTGGTGGACCGTAACGCAAAGTATGTTAAAGGAAGACTATTTGGAAGGATTTAATTCCATCTGGTTTCACGTCAGGACATTTTCAATGGTTTTAAATTAATCTATTAGACTCTCGAAGAGACGGTGAGACGTCTTTACGCCAATTGATCGACCTTAGGAGTTTCTTGAATTTGACAAAATGTTGGATTTACGCCATTGGGAATTGAAATCTTATATCTTATGTGAAACCTTACTTTCACAGTTAATTCCCGTCCAGTGTATAGGACAGTGACACTCATATGAAGGTCCTTTGGCGATACAAACTCCACCGTGCTCACACGGGCTCGGGTGGCAGTGGTCTTCATCTGGCAAAATAAATATGATGTAAAACGCATAACTTCTTCTACTTCTTTATCATCAATGATATTTAGGCCAGAACATTTAACATTTTAAGATTTTTACGCCTTCAGGTTATCAGGCGATCTTGTTTTAACGCTGAAAAATTTTAAAATTGCGTTAAATTCGGCAAAAATTTTAGCTTCTATCCCGGAATTGAGGAAAATGTGTTGGGTTAATAAAATGAATGCATGACGTACCTTCACACGTGAGTCCAGTCCACCCAGACGAGCAGGAACACGTGTAATCATCACCGTCTATCTCGCACACACCACCATGATGACAAGGGTTAGGGTGACAGCTATCGCGCTCTGAGTGAAGTTAATAGAATGAAACACAGTATTCAGCACATCTTATGCAGTGTTCTGATAGTTAGAAGTACTCGTTGTACAGTTTGTAGTGGCGTTCATGCCATTACACTGACATCCCATAGCTGAGGATTACGTTTACTACAACGATATGTAGGTACTTAGACGGTATTACAAACAAAATAAGTTCCAGCTATTTGGGCTTCTTGGTGACGTGTCATATATCTACTTCAGTAATGCATGCCAGCGGCATGATAGAAAGTTGATCAATAATACTAGAGCTTTACCCGTGGTAAAATGCCTACCAACAAGTTAGTTCAGAAAGGCCGTTCATCGTTATTCAACCGATCAGAATAAAGCTGCTGTCCATATTCCGACCCTTTCAAGTCAAAGCGTTTTTCTACTTTGAATACCGATTGATTTACGTGACCTGCTAAACGCGGTTGGAGTAATTTCTTCAGCGTTTGCCCTGATTTGATTTTTGCCCATAGGTCATTAGAAATCACTCTACATCTGAAGCTTTTTGACCTGCGCAGTTGATTCCTTTATAGCCTGGGGGACAGGTACAAGTGTAGCCACCGCTGTTCTCAAAACAGGTGCCGCCATTCTGACATGGATTGGAATGACACTTCAGCTCCTCTAAAATAACGAACAAAAATCACAGTCATCTAGAATGAAGTCGGCCATGTCAATTCAATGTATTGGTTTCTTAAACATAATATTAATTGGCAAACATATAGTCGGCCCTACGCGAGCTTTGAACAAGTAATTGGATTTTTCCGTCATCATACGTCTGGACAATGATAAATTTATCTTATGTTTTGAAATAAATTGACCAGCTAATATTATAAAACTGGGTTCAGCCATAAAAGAATAAACCCCGTATGTGACATCAAATTTTAACGACAAGAAAAAACCAAAAAAAAAAAAAAAAAAAATCAATTGGCGGATATTTGTAAGCTGTCAAGAGTGAGCCGCGACCGAACCAACATGTTTGTTGTCAGCTACTGACCTTCGCAGTTAAAGCCTCTGAATCCCTCCTGGCACTGACACTTGTAAGTTCCAGTGATCTCCTGGATACATGTACCACCATTTTGACATGGAAGTGAGTGACATCTGTCTGGCTCTGTTATACGAATAAAATCAATCAATCAATCAATCAATCAATCAATCAATCAATCAGTCAGTCAATCAATCAATCAGTCAGTCAATCAATCAATCAGTCAATTAGTTAATTTAGCATGAAAACAATCAGCCGATCAGTGAATGGTCTGTCGGCGGATGAGTCAATTGGGCAGCTAATCAATCAGTCGGTCAGTGAAACAGTCAGACGGATGGACTAACACTCAGTCAGCCAGTCAGCCAGTTGGTCAGTCGGCCAGTCGGCCAGTCAGCCGGTCAGCGGGTCGGCCGGTCGGCTGGTCGGTCAGTCGGTCAGGCGGTCAGTCAGTCAGTCAGTCAGTCAGTTAGTCAGTCAACCAGCCCGTCGGTCCGTCAGTCAGCCAGCCAGCCAGCCAGTCAGTCAGTCAGTTAGTCACTCTGGCAGCCATCCAGCCAGTCAGTCAGTCAGTCAGTCAGTCAGTCAGTCAGTCAGTCAGTTAGTCAGTCAGTCTTTCTGGCAGCCAGCCAGCCAGTCAGAAAGTCAGTCAGTCAGTCATTCTGGCAGCCAGCCAGCCAGTCAGTCAGTCAGTCATTCTGGCAGCCATCCAGCCTGTCAGCCATGCCGGTCGTTCGGTTAATCAGTAACGACCAGCTCTGGTTGCACAAAGAATGGATAACGTTTCTCAGAGATTTATTACTAACCAATGATAGCATAGTATGTTGTTTTAATACTTATCCACTAGACAGCGAATTGTCCGATGGATAAGTTTATCCACCTTTTCATTGGACAGGCCCAGTGACTTCATCAGTTAATCATTCGGTGGATCAGCCAATTGGTCGATCGGTCAATCGGTCGGTCGGTCGCCGGGTCGCTCCGTCGGTCGGTCGGTCGGTCTTTCGGTCAGTCAGTCAGTCGTTTGGTTGGTTGGTCGTGTGGTCAGACGTAAAACAAATCTAACTAGCCGTGCAGTAAGTCAACTTACCTTGGCAATTAATTCCACGGAATCCTTCGACACAAAGACAATGGTATGAATTTAACAGCGTGGAGCAAGTTCCCCCATTCGTACACGGATTTGATTCACATAAGTTAATCTCCTCTGGAAAAAGGAAAAGGAACAAAATTGCATTCAGAAGAGAAGAAATAATCAGTCTGTTTAGTGATGCAACAGCTACTGAAGTTGTTCACACTCATAAGAAGCAATATTGAGACAGTCCACCTTCACAATCTTTGCCTCTGTATCCATGTAAACATTCACATTTGTAATCCTCATCTTCCACAAGTTCTCTACAAACTCCACTGTTCTGGCAAGGGTTAGGTTCGCATTTTTTCTCCGCTGCAAATAAAGCAAAGCACAAAATCAACTGTCTGCACCGTACTTGGTTTTGTTTAAATGGCCAGCTTGTTACTACACTGTTACACTTCATGCAACTTAGAATTTTTATGTTGAGTTTTGATGAATTTGAAAACCGGATCTTGTGCAAACCAAGCAAACAAACCAACAATCAATACAAAAAATGTACAAACACTAGAAAACTCTTACTTTCACAGTTCTTTCCACGAAAGCCGTGTGGACATACGCATTTATAGACGTTGGGTCCTTGATTAAGACATGAGCCACCGTTAAGGCATGGGTTAGAGTCACATACTGAGACCATCGCTACAAGGAAAGCACAAGAATAAAGAAATACGTTGCTGAAAAAAAACTCATACTGTGGCTGTTTCCAGTAAGACCCCAGTGGTGAGGCAGCCGTGGGTGGGCCGTACTGCTTTCATACGGTCGTACGGCAGTCGTACAGCAGTGGTATGGTAGTCGTGGAGCAATAGTACCGTAGTCGTAGTGCAGTCGTACGATAGTCTTACGGTAATCTCTTATATACATAAATTGGCAAAATTACAGTCCACTGATGGATTATGTTAGGAGATTAACGTTCGTTTAAATATTCTGCTGGTTTTTGCTTTCCACTTCAAAATGAATGGTTAATGTGAACTATTTCATGTTCTGCTAATTCCATTTTCCTGTCCGTCTTCTGCTAGTGCCGGACATGTTCAGCTCCATTTTGAAACAAACGCTCAAGGGAAATGTCAGAATCTACTCCCAAGGCGTCACATCGGCATCATCGATCTCAGGAGCACTCCATTTGAAGAGAGCTACTTACATTCACAGTTGATTCCTGAGAAGCCCGCTAAACAAGAACAGGTGTAAGAGTTGTGATTGTCATAACATGTTCCTCCATTTCTGCAAGGGTTACTTCGACATCTGCTTTCAACTGAAGAAAAAAAAAAGAGAAAATTCAGACGATAACAGCCGATACCAACTTGTCAGAGATGTTTGACCGTGGGTATCCTTTCTATCCTGTCAACAAACAAACAAACAAACAAACAAACAAACAGACAAAAAACAACAACAAATAGGCACAAATATTAAATAAATGACAATTAAACACTTTCGAGATGAGAAACCAGAAGTTCGCTAACCAGCGCTGTGAAACTGAAATACAAATATTGTTCCAATATATAGTGTACACAACTCTCGCTCATTGTCTAATGAAAATGTTCTTTGACATTAGAGCTTTTCTTGTATGTCGCATAGAAACAATATAAACTAGTTTCAGAGCAGACTACATTTTAAAAGAGCAACTCACTTTCGCAGACAGAACCGCTGAACCCTTCCATACACAAACAGCTGTGGGATCCCATGACTTCCATACATGTACCTCCATTGAGACATTGGTTCAGGAAGCAAAGATTCTCCACTGAAAAATTACGATAACAAAAATATCAAACTAAAGAAACTTAGATAAAAATCATAATAACACCAGGGAATAATTTTTTCAGAGCAATTCTTGAATGCATTTTGTTAAACAATTTATTTTAAGAGAAATGAAATCAATATTTTACAATTATGTTATAGACAGTTTCATTCTCCATTACCCTCGATTTTTAGTGGGTTTTTGAAACGCTATATGCTCTGTTCAGCTGCAAGGGTGAATTATCTAATTACTCCTGCCCCTATGTGAGATTTTAGTGCATTACAGGTCGAGAGCACAGGAAAACGACGGCGGCAAGGCAAGTCAAACTCACGAGTTCTAAAATCACAGAACACATTGAGCTAAAAGCCATTGCGCCTCTATTCCTCTGGAAAGAAACTTCTGTAATGGTAAACAATTTACCTTGACATGTTGGCCCCTTGTATTCTGCTGGACACGAACACTCGAACCCATCATCCATTTCGGTGCATGTTCCGCCATTTCTACACGGGTTTGGCTGGCATTTGTTTTTCTCTATTAGTTACAAAAATACGAAATATAATATTCAAGAAAAAGTTTTGAGCGATTAAATTGTATTTAAGAACTTTGTTAAAAATAAGATGCCATTATATGAAGAAGAGGAATGTAAGAAATAAAGTTTGGCTGTAAGAATTCTATTCAACAATACAGCTTCGCGTGTTTTGAATACGCTCAGTATGGTACAGATCAAATATCACCTTTTCCTTCCTAGTGTTTGATGCGAAAACCTTAAAGTTGAAGGGCAAGAGGGTGGAAGGATTGTTTTCGATTGCTTGCATGCTATACAGCATCTTGCTTTTGCCTTTTCTATTGTACAAACTTGGCCAAAGTTTTACTGTAACTGTGTCGAAGATTCTTAAGTTCGTTGCTTATCTAATACCGTTGCCAAAGTAACAACATACGTTCGACTTGCAGTAGTTGAGATTTTAGACGAGGCAGGTAAAAAATTTACCTTCACAGTTGATTCCCTTGTATCCTTCCATACAGGTACAAATGTATGCTCCATTTGCTTCTGTGCAGATCCCGCCATTACGACAAGGGTTTGGGTGACACTTGTTCTCCTCTTGGAAGCAAAGAAAACGTGACTGGTTAAAAGAGTGATTAGCAATCCTTCTTACGCAGCATTATGCTCTAGTTATTTGTGAGACCAACTCGAGTCAACAACAGCATGCAGCAACTATAACAACATTTTATTTGTACCTTGAGTGAGATAACATGGCGGGAACTATAAATCACACGAGTAAGTCATAACAAGTCCTTCCTTAAGAAATGGTCTTGCTTTGTTCAAAAATAATTTGTTTCAAATAATTCAGCTTAATTCTTATCCAGTCACCAAGGCCGATAAATCAACAACTTTTGGTCCAAGAACATCTATGATGTTACCTTTTCCTGTATTAAAAGAAAGCGAAAGAAAAGCCGCAGAGCTTACCCCTCCTTTTTATCTCACTTTTTCTTTTTGTTCGTTCGTTTGTTTTTCCTTCTTTTTTACGGCGGAAGCTTCGGCGGCCCGAAGGGCCGCCAAGCGGAGTCCCATACCCATATAGGAAAGAAAAGGAAACCCATGAATTGATTTTCTCCTGGTTATCGTGGCTAGTGGTATTGCTCGTGGGCGCGTACGCACGACGACGGCGACGACGACAACGGAGTCGCGCAAGATGGCGGCGATACCCTAGCTAATAGGATGACAGAGACATGCACCCTCGGTTTGTAGCGTCCCTCTTTGATATTGGAAATCCATGTTTTGGTCAATTGACACCTGTCAAAACAAGGTATCCGCTAAGCAGTATCACGTGACCACATCGCGGGCTCAAATTAAGAGCTCATCGAGGTCACGTGTTTACCAAGTGCTTACCAAGTGCTGGCTTTCGATTGGATCACGGGCTCATGTCATTTTAACTTGTTGGCTTGGTTGTTCGGAAGGCGGTTAACGCTAACCCGGGATTACAAAAGTTAACCGAAGTATAATTTTTCATGTATACAAAATATTTTTCACTGCTTTTGTCAGTTTTGTGTATTTTGAGGACCTTGAGATTATTCAAACTCAAAACAGAAGGCCAAACAACAGAAATGGAAAACCTCACCGTAAAGTTACAAAACTCAAATATAAATTCTTGCTTATCCTGAGTCCGGTCCAGGAGCGCCGCTTTTAGGCTTGGCTAAATCTATATATTAATTATGTAGGCGCATATGTTTAATCAGCAGTATTGTAAGTAATTTTAAGTGTTTTTCCGTTGGTCGTAGTTGAAAAGTGAGGAAGCAGTGTAGCATAATTAAGTGCGTTGTAGCATGTATGTAACTTATATGTTATAATAAAAAAGAGCATTGTAAGTAAGCTAACTGTAATTTAATTAGTGTGATTGTATTGTAATATATGTATTGTAACTAGTGCATGTATAAGTATAAGTAGTGTAAGTGGCAAGTATAGTGTAAGTGTAAATGTAAGTATAGTATTAGTACTGTAAGTAGTGTGTTAGTGTTCATCCTGTAAATAAAATTGCATTAAAAAAAAAAACAGTTACTTTTGGTTCAGTAGTTTCAGCTTCATGTTCATGACGGAATTCGAAACCGTTACAATCAAAATGTAAGGGTCCCGGCAACGATATCTCCCGTTCTTTATAAAAAAGTTAATATTTATAGTTTTTATTACCTATAGGTAAAAACTCTGTAAGGCATATCAAGNTTTTTTTAATGCGCGCGCGCTAATCACGCGTGAAACTATGCGCAGTAGGGATGCGCAATGCAATACTGGGAAATAACCTTACGCGCCATGCGCGCGATGGGTTGACATTGACGCAATCAACTACGCTACCAAGTACACGACTAAAATGAAAGAAAAATTTTCCTGCTGTGACCAAATCAAGTTAAATGAACCTGTACTTAAACCAGAAACACCATACGAGAAGCATATCGCTAACCACTAACTGTTAACTTCTTCCAGCTGAAAAACTAGCTGTTATCTGTCAAAAATTCTACTGAAATCCAACTGTAAACATGTACCTGCAAATGGCGTAGTGCGCGTGTAAAACAAGTGCGAGATACGCAACTGTTTTACTTACTGGGGAGGTGACAGGAAAAAATGTAATGGGCACCGTAAAAGTTTTCAAAAAAGATTAATAACTTTAAAAAACACGTGGTTACCCCTGCATTTTATGTTATGAAATGGAAGTGGCAAGCCTATTAAACACGTGATTAGTTTCTGGTTGTGAGCAAAAGGTATTTAGACAGTATTTTAACTGAACCGGAGGAAGGCTGTCAGAGACATTAAAAGTACTGTTACAACGATTTTTTCATTAAAGACATACCAGAAATGGTTTTTATGTTACCATTTACCGGGTAGTTTTAAGATCTTTATAAATGTGTTTGCTTTTCTGTATGTAAAGGCGAATTCTGAGATAATCTGTGAAGAAATATTCTTTCCTACTTTTTTCAGAAAAATGCTGATGTCAGCATTTTTGTTCGGATTCAAGGCTAATTAATTATCTCGAAAAAATGCGTGGCTACCCCCCCATAGCCCTTGGAAAGATCTACTTTTTCCGCGTGGTCCTAACCTGGCGCAAAAACCTTTGTATTTAGTAGGCACCGTCCGTAATAAGGGTTTTCTGAATCTCTTCAGTGTTTCTGTCTCAGTGGCGGATCAGGGGGAGGGGCCCGGGTGGCCCGCCCCCCCTATTTTGGGTAAAAAAAGAAGAAATCACAGAAGGAAGAAAAGCCGGCAGGGCAAGCATCCCCCTTCTCCCCCTTTAGCTCAAGGTCTGGATCCGCCACTGTGTATGTACCAAATTCAAATACGAAAGTTAACTTAAGTTAGCCGTAGTGGTTCACGTTCTCCAAAGGTTTGGAAATTGACAATTTCATGTTGATGATTTGCAAAGGACGGCTACGAAATGTACAAAGGTGCATAATGCACATGCGGCACATGCAGATCCATTGTTCTTTTCCTTAATTACAGGAGCTCAGTCACGGTATTTTGAGTTATTTTGGCCACGTACATACTTACCGCTATATTGAGGGAAACCTGAAAATAATAGCTCACTAAGATAGAAAAACACCAAAGAAATAACAATAACTCATAAAGGATAGTTAAGGTGGCCACTGTTTGATTGTTGAAACTGAATATCTCTCCTGATGTGTAAGCTTAACTCGTTGTTTTCAGCCCAATTTTTGTGTATTGTTTACGGTGTGTGTGTTTTGTGTGTGAGCCTGAATAAATGAAGTTAAAATTGTGATATCGTATTCTCCCTTGATAAGCCAAGGGACTTTTAGGGAAAACAACAAAAAATATGTTTAAATTCAAAAAAAAAAAAAAAAAAAAAAGGCATATCAAGTGCATTATGTACCTTCGCAATCCGTTCCCTTGAAGCCTGGGGTACACATGCATTCATAGCCATCCTTGACTTCATTACAGGTGGCTCCATTTTGGCATGGGTTTGGAGTACAATGACGCTCTGCGGGGTATGAAAATCTGGTTAACTGGTTCGAGTGGTAGAGAAATGAAGTAAGCTTCTTACCAATACGCTGTACTGGCCTTTTTCATTCTCTTTAAAAATGCATTTTGAGAAAAAGGATCAAACTAGGAAGTTTTACTTAAAATGAGTATACAGACCTTAATCTATGGCCCTGATTTATTATTGTTGCCTATTTCCGATCAGTATAGTGTTTTATGCGATCGAGCCCTGATCTACAGATTCTTATATTTTGCCGCTTAATTACAATCTGACAAGAAAATGCGATGACTAAGGCTCGAGAAAATTAAGCTTAATCATATTCTTTAACAACTCTAGTTGTCCAAGACTGATACACCTCAAAAAGTATCAAATTGCTACTTACGGGAAATACATTGTGCAAGCACAGGTATTGCTATTAATTTTAGCTCTCTATGTCACACTTCATGGACTTCTGTGTACGGCCGTGGATAAAATACCTATCGCTGTAATTCTACAGACGAAACTGCCATGAAAATGTACCCTGTTAAACTGACATAACTTGAATTTGCTCTTTTGAAATTGTTACATATTAACATGAGTTTTGCTACGCCAACTGTACGATTCTTTTTAAACAAACATTTATTTATATCATATTGGTCCTGTAAAAGGGAGTAAATCTGCTATGTCACGGCACCTCTTGCTTCGGCAACCACACAGCATGGACGGGTGAATTCAGACGCGGAAGTCAGTTCACCCGTGTCTCCTCTTACCGGTTGGTCAATTTGTGGGTCGTGATTTTTAAGTTAACAATAGTGAAACCAGTGAACTAAGCAAATAAATCACTAACCTTCCTCGTCCTCGTCTTCCTCGCCATACATTTGTGCCATTGGATCGCCGTAAAATGGGAAATGCGAATGATGCATTCCACCGAGGAAGCTCCTGGAGAAAAACGGGTTATAAGGTATCGCCATTGGAGGTCTTGGGATACGAGTTGTTACGATGGTTCGCTGAGTCATTGGAGGCGGACGCATGAACATGAGCGGATGACCGAAAGCGTGGGGTGGGTGCATGATAAATTGTCTTTTACGCTCTTTGTTGTTATCTTTTACCGGCGAAGGCGCTTGCTTTTTCATCGGGGGCTTAGTGACCCGCGTTCTCCTATGTTTACCCTTCGAGGTGTCGCGTAATCCAAGTTTTGTTTGTGTCCATTTTGATCCATCTTGTTGTGTCTTCCTCTGCTCTTCTTTTGACTTTGTCAAATTCGAAAAATGTTCTTCCCTAGGCCTTGCGGCAGTTTGACCTAGAATTAAAAACAGGGTAGTCCCTAGGAGAATTCCAACTATCCGTGGCTCCATTTCTGATGGTTTTCGTAGAGAAATAAAATTATTCCAATAGAATTTGTTATTAGGGACATACCTTTCTGTTTACGTACAACAAAGGATTTGTGATTTGCAATTGGCCACCATGAAATTAACTTGCCATTTAATTTAGGTCCATTGTTCTGGATCATAAATAAGATATGAATTTAGGTTTGAGTTCAGAGAAGGTTTAGAGAACTAACCTAATTTCCTCAACTTAACTTTTGAAGTTAACAAGTAGGATAGGACTTACAGCTGTTGAGAAAAATAAACAGTTGTGTCATATACTTACTCAAAGTAAAATTGCAACATATTTATAAACTGGCCTTGTAAATACTAGGACTACACCTCACAGAGGCCAATTATTGCAGACAGAAGTCGATTAATAATATAATTCTTATTAACTGGGCGATATAAGAACTTAACAAGAAGCAAACTAAGACCCTTTTAATTTTTTTCACAATTTTTAAATTGCCGAGATTTCTTTAAAAGACGATAACAAACAACACAACACGCAACTTCGCGTAACTTGCGCCGCGTTTTTTTTGGTATAAGTCTCAGGGAGATATCTCTCCTGTGACGTCACGGACAGATCAGGTGTTAATTCTTCTGCAAAGCAGTGACTGCGGTCATGGTCAGGAAAACAAATGACTTTTTTTTTAATTGAAGTGCAGCCTGACAGTTACTTGAGCCCGCGAACATCGCAACATCAGTAACACATCCCACATAACGCATGAGCAGGAACTGATCAGCCATGTCCACCCTAATCTGACACCTCGCACTCAAAGCATTTAGACTCAAAGTCAAATTTCTGGCTATTAATCTTCCATATTATATTTTCGTATTACTAGCTTTCGGTTCAAGTTTTCTTTTCTCTGTTTTGTTCTGATTTTTTAAGGCGCCCACATTTTTGGTTTAGCAAAACAGGACGATAACATTCAGTTGACTGACACACAGCTCCCATACAGTGCATGGAATATTGACTCATTTATGGGGATGTTAGACGTCCACGTACAAAAAATGGACTCAACTAGATGATGTTTAAGGTAGGAGTGGTCGAGACCAAGGAGGCGCCTCAGTCCTTGTATTGTACAAACTTTCTGTTAGGATTTCAGATCAACAATAATTCAAAACTTTCGCTCCTTTAATAGCCTTAAGCAAACGGATTCTATTGTTCGTAAGACAATGGTTAAAAATCAACGACGCTTAGCCAGATCGACCGAGCGCGAAATTCAACATTGTTCGGAAGTGATAAGATTTACAAACCCGGCTTTTGTGGGGGAGCGTGTGGAAAGGATTGTTGCAGCTTGGGGGGAGCTTGTGATAGTAAGAGCGAGGAACTAGCGAACACTTACTTTTACAAGGTTCAATTAGATGACTTTAAATGGTTCATTGTTTTGAAAAATCCTAACCATAACAATAGGCAAAGCTTGTGTTACGCTACTTTTGCTTTAATAAAAAGGCATGGTACAGTATTCCATGGACTCAGAATCCACTGGATACTGGCACTAAACATTAGTACTGTTCTGTCAGTGATTAGCTGTGATTGTAAAATTGTAGCGGACGGCCTTTGAGTTCTCCCATCCAAAACGCTGGAGGTTCTAGTAAGGAAGAAAGGTTGATTCACATTTTCCCCAAAAGGCCCCTCCTTATTGGCAGAGGCAAAATTATGACATTTAACAAATTAAAGCTCAGTTACGAGTTCTTTGACTGTCTCTACTTCACCAGCCTTTGTTAGACACAAGTGTTTCGTGTTCTGAGGGGGAAGGAAGATGGATAATGGTTGGTAAATGATTTACGGCGTGTTCAGATGGAACCTCAGCAATTTTGTGGGAAGATCTTACAGATTGATTTAAAAATAACGTTATGCCATTTTGCTTAGTTTAGTCACGAGCAAGCTAACAAATGAAGAGTTGTAGTGTGGTTCCAGTCCATGCCGTTAGACAAACAATGTTTGGGGAGAATATGACAATATGCAACAATACAACACAAAGTAAACTCTGAGTCATGATTTTGATAAAGTTAGTTTTATTTCCATTCATCTGATTATTACCACAGTTGATCATAAAGAAACAAGTAGATAAATCAATAAATCAATAAATAACTTTGTTTACATGGCGCCATTCCTACGTTCGTGGGGCTTTACATAGGAATACTACAGAAAGCTTAAACCCCACATTTACATTCCACCGTTTCTAGGAAGGAGCGTTAAAGGAGAAGGTCACTCCAAAAAATGTATACTTTTTGTCAACGTTAATAAAAACCTCGCACTAAGTTAAGCCACTCACCGAAGTTTCAGCCTCTAAAGTGAACTTCGTCTCCAAAGAAGCCGAAAATTCGAACATTGTTGCGCCATTTTGAACAGTACTCAGCAGCCAGGCCGCGTTTTCGTGACGTCATTCCGTCTGGGACATTTTGTCCAAATGGCTTCCGACAAGCCTTTTAACCGGTCAACCCAAAACGCAGACCATGCAGACTGCAGACTGCAGACCGCAGACCGTGCAGACCATGTAGACTGTGCAGACTGAGTCCTTTTTTTTCCCTTATTCTCGTTTTTGCATTTACTTTTGACTCGCATATTTTTTGGTTCTGCTCAATTTCATATCGGAGTGTTTGTTATCCACAGGCCGCGCAAACTCGGTGGCTACAGATTTTGAAAGGAAAACTCCCTTTAGTCCTAAAGATGCTTAAGTAAAGCTATTTTAAAATGTAGAAATAAACTTCACTTGTATTACAATGTCACACGTAACATGTGCATTTTCTACTCTCGGTGTAGCGCATAGAAAGATCACAGAAAACCGAATAGCATTTGAAATTCTCAGCGCAATACGGTTGCCGTGATGAGTTGATGCAATGGTTAATTTATCTGTCCTTATGGCAGTTGTGTTTTTCTGGCGATTTAGACTACGAGTGGTCCCTCATTCGCTTAGTCCATCGTGCGTGACGCATAAGAAAACCTCAAGGAAAAAATTTCATGCGAGCATTTTTTTCTCGAGGTTTACTTACGGTCACGCTCAACTAAGCGAAAGCGGGAATACTGCTAGTCAAATGGCGATTCTGTACTTTGTGAAGCAAAAGCGATTTGTGGGACAAGGTCGCTTAGAGTCACCGTCTTTGCTTGAATCAGTTAAGAGGAAAGCGAAGACTAACAAAATCGACAACAAAAAAACACAACAACAACAGCAACAAACTGGACAAAATAAATGAAACCACAAACCCGTCAAAAATTGACGCAATTTGCGCCCATAATGTATGTAAGTTTATTTTAAAGCTTGATTATAGTATATTTAGGACCAGTAAAGGGGATTTCCAATAGAAAGTCTATTAAACGCGTGAATCAACAGTCAGATGTTGAGTTTGTGCCGCCTGTGGATAAATAACAAACATTAGGACATATTGAACACTATTTTGTCACTAGAAACGAAAAAAGTGAGTCAAGTGTTAGAAAAAAAGTACTCAGTCTGCACGGTCTGCAGTCTACATGGTCTGCGTTTTGGGGTGACCGCCTTTTAACTACCACTCTGGTCACTCTGGGTTATGGCTGCTCTTGTGCGATATTATTTTGAGCCAAACATGCTCCAAACTCCGAAATGATAGCATTGAAGTTTGTGAAGTGGATAATCACTTGGAAAAAATAGATTTTGCTGACCTTGTGAAGGATGTTAGGTCAGTTGCAGGTTTTTCTCCTTCCTGCCAATTTCGAGTCGGACGGAATGACGTCACATAAACACGGCCTGGTTGCCAAGACAGTTTCAAAATGGCGGCCTCCGAAGCCGCTTCTTTTGAGACGAATTTCTGCAGGATAGCTTGCACTTCAGAGGCTAAAACATCGGTAAGTGGAAAAGATGAATGTCAACTTGCTATAGGCGAAGACAAAAAAAGTGAGCTTTTCGGAGTGACCTTCTCGTTTAATATTTATTGCTGACGTGTGTACTTTTTCGATGCTTTGCTCGATGTTTAAATAATCCCAAGTATAACGGCAAACGAAGTCAACGGTAAACTCACGCATTCCGTGGAAAACTGTGAATCGTTTTCTTTTGGTCTGCGTTCAAAAACTGGATATAAAACTGACGGTAAAGAAACGATTAACTAAAAAGGAATGGAATTTGATCTTTTGTCGGAAACCTTGAAATTAAATGAGGACAGAGCTATAGTGGATATTCATTTGTTTTATGCTGAAAATATACAAAATTACACTCTCCCTTTAACCACTGAAACGTGATGTTAACGTTTGGTCTCAAAAATCAACCATAATATATCACTAGTATGACTAATGAAAAACAGCTTTTGGCTTCGCATTGATTATTTTCTGTATTTTGAAAGAGAACCAGTCACTGGTTTTCAGTGAGCATTACATCTGAACCAGAAGAGCACCATATTGTTTAACAAGGTGGCTAAGAGAATGAAAAGATTCTAATAACTTAATATTAAACTTCAAACAAGTATAATGAATGTATGTATTTATGTATAATGTATTTACCACCATATATTTTCGTGGGTCGTAACACTTGGACATCCTGCCAGATGTCTGGGTCTTTTTTTCAAATTTTGGTTTTAAATAAAACTCGTAGGTGTTTGGCCTGGTTTATTAAAATGATCAATTTAGAACCAAGCAGGCGGCAAGTTAGCATTTTCGTTATTTTTATCTACGCCTAGGAGCTTATGAGTCTATAGCTCTCTAATAGGCTTAAAAGTCGAGAAAACTAAAATGTATACACAAAAAGAGGCAAGACCAGTTCTTATTCATTCAGATCTTCTGATGTGCCTTCTGACGACCTTGTATCTTGACGTAACTTTTGTACTCCCGCTGACGCCGTTCCTTGAAGTAACTTTTGCGCCCTTGCCATCTGCGTCTGTACATGAATAACAATCTGTTAAAAACACCTGACACCTAATGATAAATCCGTACCTTTCCGATACAATTCCGTGGCTTCTCAGGCTCTATTGATCGAGCCATGGTTCGCATTTTGGCGAGATGCAGACTCGGCCCCAAAGTACCCATGGCGAGACCAAACGAGCCCGATTTTCCGCCGAACCGAAAGAGGCACGATTAGCTGTCAAATTTTCTTATTATCATTTACTTTACCTCGATTGATACGTCTTTTATTTTCTGTTTGCCTGTATCTTCGTTGAAACGTGTTTGTAGAAGCGTTTCTTCTTCTTGGATGACTACTCGCAGGGTAATAGCGCTTCGAATACCACTGTTTCTGGAGGTAAGGATACCGCGAGTTTCCGTAGCTTACCGGATTATGCCTCTGGTATCTTCTGCTATTCTTATAACCATAATATCCAGCATAACCGGGTTGATAAGTAGTTGGTCTCCGATACTGAATATGTTGCCGTGTTGGTGTTCCAAGACGGGGAACGCCTCCAGGCAGACCCAGAGTGAGACGTCCGTTTCCTGGTGGTGGCCTCAGCCCTGGAGGCATGACAATGGCCGGTGCCTGGGTGATGGCTGGAGACGCCGCTACCCCCGTAAACAGGGATGGTATCACTGGAGGTGAAGAAATCAGGCTAGCTGATGGTGATTGAGCGGGCATTGGCTTGGCTCCTGGAGCTGCATAAGAAATAGCAGCATTGGAGTGTGCTGCTTCTAAGTTTGGGAAAGCCACATATGGTAATGAGGGTGGAGACGCCGGTATGACATAACCAAGTGAACTTGGAGTTGATGCTATAGGGGAATTACTGCCTGCATAGGGAAAAGGAACTAGTGATTATGCGACGAGTTGAAGACACTTAAAGCAGGTTTAAGTGATAGGCGTACGTAAATGTACATTAAGCCTGAAAAGCAGGTGGTTGAGAAGGGCAAAGCACGCAAATGAAGTTACAATTTAGAAATAGAAAACATGTACCCTGTTTTGATCGAGTTTTAGTATAAATCTACTAGCGTTCTATCACGAATGCCGTTCTCTGATTGGCTACGCTATTCACTATCTATTCTGTGATAGATAGTGAGAAGCGTAGCAGTGTGCCTGTGTTAACAAAACGAGGGCCGCTTCTTCGCGTTTTCTAAGTGTCTGTGAGAGGATTTAGATAAAGTTTTGAACGACTAGTAGATTTAGACTAAAACAATTAGACTATTCGCTCTCGATTTCTATCACGCGAAAGAAATCTCGGGCTCATAATCTAATTATTTAATAGAAACACGGTTTTAAACTAGTCAGGGCGCGTATTTGCTTTGTGTTATTTTCTATTTTATTATACGGAGAAGAGTGTTTTACTGGGAACTAAACCACTCGTAGATTCCATACGCCACTTCATCCGGGACCCGAGTGGCGTATTTTCCGTATGTCNAAATGTGGTAAGAAAATCAGTGACACACGCGGCTATCGCCTCGTGTGCCACTTATTTGTGCTTACCACATTTGGACGTCATCTGTGATCTATTACTGAACAGACGCACGGCAACATGGAATCTATTTGTTAAGTGGCAACCATTGTCTTAAAGGAGGCCACCAACGCGCATGTTTTTCATAGTCTTGTACACTGTATACGGTGCAAATTGAGGAACATCACCTTATCTACACAGAATCATTTCGCGCTACACTTCAGAGGGACTCAAAATACTTGAACAAAATTGTTTACAGAAGTCACTAGGGGCCAGGTACTATAAGTATATTATTATTGATGACATCATGAATAGTTGTTTTCCCGCTGTTTGGCCATGTACTATTTTTATTTTAACTTATTTTTGTTCATATAATTTCTAATTTCTCGCTCAGTACAAAGTTGTTGTTGTTGTTGTTGTTGTTGTTACGGCCCATTCCCTTGTTTTTATGACTACCTGAATATCAGGGAACATACCTAGGGAACTGGAAGGACCGTTAGCGTGGATTATGGGAGGTCGGGGAGGAGGTTGACTTCCAGTGCTTGTCCTTGTAAGTGGTTGCGGTGATTGTGGAATTACAATAACACCAACTTGGTTCTGATGTGACTTTTCAACCTGCGCTGTGAGACCAACATTGGGATTCGATGGAACCGCCGCAGGAAGGGTCGTTTTCGGTAGTTCTGCTGCAGCTCCCACCAGTACGGATTCCTTTGGCACTTGTGGAGTTATAACAAGAGGTACAGCTACATTGGATTAGAGCCAAAATTAGTTTTTGAGGTTTTCAATTTCACTGCCTGTTAAAGAGTTGTGTGAGATTCAGGCCGAAAAATCCCGTACTGATGGCATAGCAGTGCCGCGAGATTTATAATACTTATGGTGTGAATAATAATTCACGTCTTTGATCATAAATTAGTTTCAACCACGCAGATTTAATGCAGCAATGTTTTTAACTTAGGGCTACGTAATCAGTATCAGAAAACTGTTTGGCGGTGGATACGATGGAAATATGTTTGCGACGAGGACTTTGGCTTTTACTGCTTTCATTCATTGCTAGAACGAGGGCCTGGATAGAAGGGCTACTCAAGGTAAAACTGGCCCAAGTACGGGCACAGTCAGGAGCCAACCTTTATATATAGATACCTCCTGTTACAGCTGTAATTATCGGCCGGCTTCCCGTGAAAAAAAAAGAAGAAAACATACAGTTGAGGTACCTTACCTCTTGGTCCGCCGCCGGGTGATGCGTTCACGTCTACCACATCAACTGTGAAAAGGAAACTTGTTACAATTAAAGTGTAATAACAGTATTGAACACTGTGTCGCGTCTTGAGAAAGGTGGATAAAGAAATATTGCTTCCCGGCGTGGAATTTTCAGATAAAATTACAGGCAAGTATTTATGAACCCTGATGAAGGCATCAATGTCGAAACCGCTAATGCAGTTTACTTATACCCAGCCACTGAGTAGTTATAGAAAAATATCAGAATATCTCTGGTACCAAGAAACATTTTCACTCTGTGAAGTAAAAGTCAATCTGCTTCTGTATATCCTAAAGTTTTTTTTGAAAATTATATAGTAACTGGAAGTATGGTGACTGTAAGTTTAGAAGAAAGAGGAAGACATGCATCAGCTTTGCTGTCAGCCTTTAGGAGAAAAATTGAAGGGTATTGACTACGAATTGACTACGTAGAATTACTGAAATTAGAACTGAGTGTAACATTTTCTTACCAGATACGCTACTACCAATGCAAAACTCGATCCTCACAATTGTTAAAGGTTATTCAAGCGAACTTTTTCTCTTGTGATGCAGGTCAAGTTTTATCAACGTGATTAAGGACCATTCCTCTATCTTGGTGGAAAATAACAGTTTTGCAGCCGCTACAGCATTTTTATTATGTCGACAAAAAGGGAAGAGCGCTATTAGGCTAAGTTTTCATACGTTTGATAGAACAGGAAATAATGCGAGGTGTTTTTGCGGCTTTTAAAACAAGGAAAAATATGTTTTACTTCTTACAAAGTAGAAGTCATGAGAAATATGACTGACCTGTTGGTTTGTAGAAATGTACGGTTAGCGGTTTGGATGTTCCCTGTAAGGAAACTTCTGGAAAATAAAGCAGATAAATGAATGACTATTTATGAGAGCAATTTCTATTTTTCTTGACACGCGGGATTGAAAAAAAGGTGCAATTTATGACTACCCTTATTATGTATGAGTCATTTACACACGAGACCTGCTATCCGTAATGCATGGTCGGTTCCAAAGGCATCTTAGATTGTTTGGACTCGCAACAAATCCCTGCTCCAGTTTGGATAGTGTTTGGTCCTTGAATGGACCAGTCCGTTTTGAGACTGACTGTACTGAATTGGCTGCTTTTCTTTCTACTTCATTAACAGGAAGACTACCCAGTCCGATTCTTGGCACTCAGTGGTCCAATGTGAACCGGTTCCGTGAGAATTGTTACGCCAGGTCTGTTGGGAACCAGTTTGTAATAGCAACTGCTATAGATTATAATCTCTTACCTGTGATCAGAGGAGTCTTAATTGAAGAAGATGAACTAGCTGTGTAAATTATATATGAAAAATGTGAATCAATTGGTTACAGTTAATCGATATCTGAATGAATTAGTTACAAAGTGTTTAAAAAGCAGAGAAAGTTGAGCACACAAGCAAAAGTTATGATCTCGTTGTACAGTAGAGAGAACATTTGATTCATACATCCCAAACGCTACATGATGGTGAATTGAGCTTGGGCTACATGTATCGATTTTGTTCAACTTATAAGAGAGGACACTAAAATACACAATCCTAAAAATGCACAAAGAAGTTCTAAAACCCTCGAACTTAACATTCACAATGTCGTTAGCGCAGGGGAAAATTAAAAAGTGGAAAAATATGGCTTTGGAATTCCTTCACTTTCTAAGCTGTGCAAGGTTCGCATGGTATTGTAGTAAGATGTACAGCCGCCATCTTTTTCCTTCGGAAGATGGCTTAAGACCCAAAGAAGAAGCATTTATACCTGACAAAACACCGTAATATGCGTGAAAGATCAAGTCAAATTTTAAAATGTATCTTCTTTTCTGTTTGTAATGGTAGAACATTCATGACAAACACTGAGTAAAATATACATTTCGTAATACCAGGAAGCACGTTGGGCCGGTATCTTGCTGTTCCCATAACAAGTATTGACAAGACGTTATTTACTCTCTACGCCTATTTTGATGTTATGTAAGTATGAAGGAATCATCACTAACCTTCACAGTTCATTCCAACGAAACCTTCAAAACAGAGGCATTTGTAACCATTAGCGTTGAACGCTACATCTGCAGTATTAGAAGAGTCAAGACATGTTCCTCCGTGAAGGCATGGGCTTGAATGACATGCTGATCGGGGAACTGTTAAAACAAAAGTAAAATAATGACGCTGTTGTTGGAAGAGAGCAATCGCTGCAAGATGTTTTTCACTCTGATGAGACAAAACAATTTGCATTGTTTCATAATATGTTTCCAACAAGAGATTATCAAGGTAAGAGAGTGAATCCCCATGTAGACCTTATACCCTACGTAATCCCTCTTAAGTTATTTTTAGACATGGTACCCAGTTCTTCCGAGGATGCTACTCGCGCGATGCGTGGACAGCCGAAGTGACTTTCTCGCGACTAGCCGAGACGAAATGGCGGGAACTGCGAGAAGCCATTTTACAATAACTGTCTAATTTCTCGCGCAGTGATTGGCTCATTTTCATCATCAATAAGAGTACAGACGGATAAAATTTTAATTTATGCAAGTTTTCAAGTTCAACTTTCAGCTGTCAAACAGACAACTTTTTAACCAATGAGATTTTATGGACTTTTTTGAGTAGCCAATCAAAAAGCGAGAAAAGCTATCAACAATGTTCGCGTCATTTTGAATAAAATTCACTTATCTTAGTTTACGGCGTCTTTTCCCCTCATTTATTCCGAACATTTGACCATTTTGGGGTCTTGTTATTCTAAAAACCAAATGGACGGCAGTTTTTTATGCGTCTGTCCTCTTATTAATGATAAATTTCATCAAAACATTGTAAAAGTTTACTGCGGAACCACTCGCCTGCGGCTCGTGGTTCCACAGCCACTTTGACAATGTTATGACGCAATTTATCATTAACAAGAGGACAGACGCATAAAAAACTGACGTCAACTTGTTAATTTCATATTTGGATTTTCAAAAGACGTTTCATAGCATAGATGTTTTCTGCACTCTCAGCCATCTTCATGTTCGGCTGGGCTTTCGTTTGCTTTGTGCCTGTTGGGCTGTTTATTCTTTTGCCGTTCATTCGGCTTTAGGGAGTTTAATAGGCGAACCTTAACGGCAACGGCAACGAGTACAGTGGCTGTGTACGCGTGCTTAAATTCTTTGTTCATTTGTTTGCCGTTCTTTTCAAAAACAACAACTCCAAATGGGAAAATTCCGTGTATTCGAGATAACGTGAACTACGACGGCCAAACGTTTTTTATAAAATTTTGACGCTGTCTTAGATATTCTGTTTGGGATTTGTTTGGGATTTGTAGGGGTTATCAGCCTCAGCCTTCGGCTTCGGCTGATAACCCCTACCTCGACCTTGATTATTCTTATCCAATAATTGTTTACAATAATAATAATAATAATAATAATAATAATAATAATAATAATAATAATAAACTTAAGGGGGATTACCTTGGGTATAAGGCCCATATGGGGGATTCACTCTCTTACCTTGATAATCTCTTGGAAATACTTATTAATAAATCAGGACTGTGACAGAGAAAAGAGTTTTTTTCATCTTACTTTCGCAGACAATCCCACTGTATCCAATCGGACAGAAGCAACGGAAATCAAGAGCGTTGATCAGCTTTAGATTCATGCCAGCGCTGTTTGCATCGTCAAAACACGTGCCATTGCTGAAACAGGGGTGAGTGGAACACGGATTTGTCATCACCAGTTCTGTTAAATACAATATAGAGACTTAGTAAAGGATTCCCAAACATGCACTTTTAACAAATTGGTTTTCAAATAATTAAAATAATATTGTAGCCCATTTAATTTTCTTTTATTCCTGTCACGTTTTGCATATAAGGAGAAGATACATGTGTTTGCTCTTTGGGATTAAAATGAGTTTTACCATCAATATGACGCAATCTACAAAATTGCATTTTAACATCGGAAACATCCTAAACTATTTTTATTTCTAGGCCTTTCATCGTCTCGATTGACTCTCCAATTTCAGGATCATCATGAAGCGTACATAAAAAGTCCCGTTTTTGGTCAAATGTTTCTTAAATTTCTGCGAACTTTAATTCTATGAAACCCTGATGTTACTAATATTTACTGATCTGAGATGGAATGAGTGACCCCGGCAAAAAAAAAAACAAAAAACAAAAAACTATCCGTTGTCATATAGCCAGAGGTTTGTTCGTTTAGTGGAAGTTGCAATTACCTAAACGACGCTATTTTAACTCACTTTGACAGGTGTTTCCTGCGTAGCCCTTGGGACAAACACACTTGTATTGAGAATGGTTTGTGAATATCACGCCCTCCAATAGGGAGCCATCATTGTTTGTCACATCTACACACGTTCCCCCATTTACACACGGATTTGACATACAGGCACTCTTAGACACTACAAAGGAAAAACACAAGGCTGAGTTTATGGCTGATTTGTGCTTGCAGCTTCACATGCAAGAGGTATTCAAGTACACCGCCATCAGACTGAATTCAAATTCAACTGAAGAAACCTGTCGGTCAGTGAATCTTAACGTACGAGATAATTAACAGTGTTTCTTTTTTCATTAGTTACACGATTGTATGCTAGGATATAAATTTTATACAGAGTTGAATAACTTTAAAGCCAACTGCTTTCCCTATAGCTACACGACATTTTGTCATTTTTGGTCGACGTCTTTACTGTCAAAGAAACGACGTTTTTCAGCAACAGTTACCTATTGTGTTTCATAAAATGGCGCAATAACACGCATCACGGGGAATCTCACCTTCACATTTACCCCCAGTAAATCCTTCACGGCAGACACACTCAAATAATTTTTCACCATGTCCCGGATTACACCTCCCGCCATTTTCACATGGGTTGGGTTGGCACGGATCTCCAACGACTAAAATAATTAATGAAAATTCGTTTTACATCTGTATCATTGTGCTACTACAAGAACACATAAAGACCACCTCAGATCTTTTCAAAATCTGAATTGTTGCATCGCAAATGACCACTGACGATAATAGAACATAGTGCAAAGGAAAAAGTCACGGCTGAGTTCAGATTAGTAAAACAAGAATTAGAAACACTTGTATCAGTTACAACTGGAATCAACGAAAGAACAATTAATTTGCCCTTTGCGTTAGAGAGCGACAAAAACTAGAGTTAAACAGTAAAATCTAAACGTAGTATGAGGATGGTCACTTCTACTTACGTGTACACGTAAAACCATTCCCAACAAATCCGTGGTTGCATTCACACGTTCCGTTTACGCAGTTTGCGTTGATGTCACAACGCTTGCACTTGTCATCTAAATAGAAGCAATGCAGTTGCTGCTCAGTTTGTTGGTTGTTAAGTTTTTCCCGCCTTTTTAGAGAGTACAGTGCAACGTAACCCTGATTTATCTCAGCAGTCAAAGTAATTTACTTAGGCGAGACCAAAGGAACCGAAACAAGTTAAAGTGATATTCTCTTACTTCCACAATGTTTTCCCGAGTATCGCAGCGGACAGTGACAAATAAACGTGTCCAATGCATTGAAACATGTTCCTCCATTGAGGCAAGGACTTGTGGGATAGCAAAGATCAGTTCCTGTTTAAAAGAAGAAACAACATCAATTTTGTGGAAGTACTGTTTCACTTCGATTTTTAGTTTTTTGAATTTTTTACATGTCACTTAAAACTTTTGAGAATCATTTCACTAACCCATGAAGCAAGGACAGCAATAACTAGAAGTGAAACATTATCACAGGCGAAAACAGTAAGATATCAGCAAAGATATGAAACAAGGTATGTTTTGATCAAAACGAAGATAAAATTAAAAACAGGTATTGAAGTACTATGATTTGAAGTTTATATGAAATAATTCATATATGAACTGCGGTTGTAGATGAAAGGGAAGAATGATCATCGCAGTAAATTTTCCAATTTAAGCAACTGNCGAACCCGTGACCTCCGCGATACCGGTGCGATGCTCTACCAACTGAGCTATGATGCCACACATTGGGAGCGAGGTCAATTAATTGAGTTCATATCTTCCCGCGAGGAGTGAAATGATGTGAAATATAAATGAAATAATTCATATATGAACTGCGTTGTAGATGAAAGCGAAGAATGATCATCGCAGTAAATTTTCCAATATGAACTACTATAGTTACTCGGTTTGACTAAGATTTGAAAAACAATGCTTTCAAAGAGATGTCGTTTGTCCAAGTAATGTCTGTTTAGAAACATTGAGCTTTATAATATTTTCCTACTTACGTTCACAGGCATATCCGCGCCAACCGGCATGACAGAGGCAGTGGTATCCACGATTATTATGAGCCTGTAAGCACGTGCCATCGTGTTGACAGGGATTGGGCATGCACATGTCCTTTCCTGGCATGAGTAAGGTAGCAAAGAACTTCAACCTAACAAATTGTTGAAAAATTACGCTTTCGGAAAAAAAAGATATTCAGCAACACCCACCACAGGAATGCGACGCTCGATAGACTTCATTTGAATGTTCACACTCTGGGATGTCATACACGCACTCGAAATTGAGAATAACACCATAACCACGCTTTGCCTCAGGAGCGAAAAGGTTACAGTATAATCTAAAAATTTTCATTTTCACCTTTCGTAAAATAACTTTTCGTTATAGTAGCTTTAACCTAGAGTAGAAAGGCGTTAAAAAGGGTATTCCGAAACCTGGAGACGTTCCTTCGAGGCAGAGATTCAGTCCGTAAGTCAGAAATAACTCAACAAGGGTCTATGCTGATGAATTATGTTCCTGAGTAGGATTGTACAGCACACACCCAGAATGCAATGTGGTAGAGAACCTTTGTGGATTACGACATATGTAAATAAAACTCTGACATTTAAAAATCTCCGTACAGACTGTCTGCTAAGTATGTACAAATAACGGTTGAACTGTAGTTTCGTACTTTCACAATGTGCTCCAACAAATCCTTCCTTACACACACAGATGTAACCATCGTGGTTTTGCACTTCAGCACACAAGCCGTCATTTTTACAAGGGTTTGGAAAGCAGTGACTACTCAAAGCTGAAAAATATACAAACAATTTCAAAATACAAGTCTTTGTTGACAAATCTGATCTGTACCTGAATAGAAGAAAACTTTACACAGCCGGAGTGTTATGTTACTACTTGTATTTCATACACTCTTTCCTTTTTTTTTTTTGTAATGAGTACATTTTATAAGAATATCGAGGATGACATTTGCGAAATTTTAAGAATATTTTACGAATGAACCCAAGGCTGAGATTTTCAAAAGAATATAATTTTGCGGGTTGAAAATCTGTAAATACAGTACAATTATATGTTTTTAACTAAACCGTAAAAAACTATTCCTTTCTCTAAACGACAAAACTAGCCAAAAAGCAACAAAAACAGCACTAGCCATTTGCGAAAGAAATTACAGTTGGATCCGGCTAATTCGAACTCGAACCGCCTGTACTAACCACGAGACCACCTAGAATAGAAAGGCGCGCCTCCACAATACAATCTTGCATGCTGGCTTCATAATTACGTAACACCATCCGACAGCAAAGGCATTCGAAAACAAACATATCATGCGCTATAATCTAAGAATATTCACAAGAATATTTTCAGCCTAAAATTCGCCAAAAATAAGAATATTCAGCCTTGGCCGGAAAAACAACATTCTTAGAAAAAAAAAGAGTGTATACTTAAATTAGTGCTTGTAGTTGTTGCCTCTGTAAGGTCTCTTTTTTCAATCGGTTTCATGCCCACTCAGAAAAATGCAATATTTTAAGTTTAGAGAAAACGAAAACTTCGGAATAAAAGTCTTTAAGATGCATCTGTCCCCAAATGTCAAAAGTAAAACATCAAAAAATGCCAGCAATAACAAGATGAATTTGTGCTTCACGAATTGTCTCTCACGGCTTTGCCTCTAATACTATTTTTTCTACACAGCCAACTCATCCCGGATGCTTGACGATGGTCCTTTACCTTCACATGTTTTCCCAAAATATCCTTGTTTGCAATCACATTCAAAGCCATCTGTCTTCGGAGTGCATGTTCCTTCGTTTTTGCAAGGTGATGAATGGCAAAAATTTAACTCTACAGATAGAAAATAATATTTTGCGAAATCACATGAAATTAAACTTAGTAGCAAGAGGGCCTATATCTTAAAGATATTTGAGATGATTGCTTTTCAATGTATTGCCAATAAACAACATTTCGCCTTGTTTTAGATACAAAAATGTTTACTGACATGTACAACCTCCAGGGACGCCAAAACAGAATTGATTTATGGCTTTAAATAAAAATTGAAGAAATAAATAATTAAAATTTCTCCAAGCAATATTTCTAAGAGAGGGATAAGAAATAAGCATAGGCTTTTGAATTCCTACGTTCACAGTGTGATCCTAAGTATCCCGGTGCACACTGACAAGCTATGTTGTTTCCATCAGTTTTACACGTGCCACCATTTTGACAAGGGTTGTGACGAAAGCACAAGTTGGTTTCTGAAATTGAATAAAACAAAACAGTCAGGTGAAGAAATAACGTTATTCAAGTTGCACTACTTGCTCTAGCAGACACGAACTGGATTAACAGAGCAGCTTAACTACTTCTACGAAAATTTACCCGCATTATTTCCCGAGTGGCTACAAGATTCATTTAGTTGTCATTAGCAAATGCTTGCCAAACAAAACAAAACAAAACAAAACAAAACAAAACAAACACAACACAGCACAGCACAGCACAGCACAGCACAGCACAACACAACACAACACAACACAACACAACACAACACAACACAACACAACACAACACAACGCAACAAGGTATCCGGTAAAAAAACTGAAGAAGGAAAATATCTTGTTAAAAGCCGCCATCGTAAGTAATCCTTCAGTGGAGTGAAATGTATCATAAGCTTTCGGTTCTGTTTTGCAAATTATGATCAAGACAACATTGCCTGATGCCGAGAAACTCACTTTCACAGTTTGGTCCCAAGTGTGCAATAGAACAGTAACATACGTAACCACGACCAACATCTACGTCACGACACGTGCCGTCATTAAGACAAGGGTTTGGAGTGCATTTGGACTGAACTGTAAAAATTATCATCATACGAGGTTAGTTTAATTAGGTCATTTTTAATTGTAGCATACTGAATCTATCTTGTAGAAACCGTGATCAGCTTCAGCCAGTACTTTGTGCAAATTTAAATCGGAAAATGAAAACAGATGTAAAAAGTTGAAAGACATAGACGTACTGGACAAATGAGATTTTCGCCGTAAATAAAATTCAACTGAACATACGTTCGCATCGCTTTCCAGAAAATGTTGATGGACAATGGCACTGAAATGTGTCGCCAGTATTCAGACAAGTTCCATTGTGTAAGCATGGGCTTGGTATGCAGGGATCTGGAACTAAAAATATATCAGACAATGACAAGTGCTCTAAAGAAATCTGAGGACACTACTGGTAAAAACTAATACATCGTTTATAACTTTGCTCTACGTATACTCTGTATAAACTTTACTAGAAATTGTCTAAATGGAAACAATTTAGGGAAGTATTACCCTGTACTTGCTCATATTGCTAACTCCTAAAAACGTTGTTTTAATTTCCATATTAACTCTTAGATTTTCGCCATTTCGTAACATATAAGATGAGATTGGGTTACGTGTGAGGCGCTTCCCAGAAAGATTGCTAATCTCTTTGTTGATTGCTGTTAAATCAGAAAATAGCTAATGAGGGGCAATATGATACTCTGTAACCTAGAAAAGATATTAGTCCAAACTGTCAACCTAGTGACTGACTGTCAGCTAAACGCGAAATCTGATTGGTTACGCAGCGCAGGGGCCGTCTAACAATCGACAGACACAATGGGAGCTAGTCAATCTTCTATAAAAATGGAAATGGAAAACTCCCCGTTTTCGTAAAATTTCTGAAACAAAAAAATAGGTTTCTGTGATAAATCGGCTAGTGCATGGGTGATGCTGAAAAAAACTAATTCCCGTAAAAAAGCAGAGTTGGATTATAGTGTAATTTATTTAAAAAATGCTGTAATTTATTTAACAAATATTCTAAGTTCTCACTTGAACAGAGTGCGCCAACAAAAGCCTTGGTACAAGTACATTTGTAGTCGCCATGGCTGAGTCCATAACAAGCTCCTTCATTCTGACAGGGGTTTGGTAAGCACGGATCGATTTCTGTGGTGAACGACCGATCATAAATTGAAAGTAAATCACTGAAATAGTCAACTTGCTTCTCGTGCATTATTGAGCTAAATAACCATTTGTAAATTTCCAAGAACGCTCGAGAAGTCCGAGAAGTATCCCGCTCCGTCTTTTTCGTCTCAATACACTTCTCTTGTGCTCTTAACATTTTCCGCGTACTTATGTGGCACGACAAATTTCTCGGGCGTGTTAGCTTTTTCCTTAACCTTCTCACTCTCTAATGCCCATACGGGGCTATCTGAGTGACCATGGTCCTTGTGCCACTTGTAAAGTAATGACGTTACTTGTTTTGACAGCCATAAGGGACAGGGTTGTGTTACTTTTGTGCCCTTGGATGAAAATTTATTATGGTACATTTAAAACCAAGTAGAAGATGATTTTGCTATGTACTATACGAAAATGAACAATTGAAATGAAATGATGACACAATTAAAAAGAGAACCAATTGAGAGTAAGCTAAGATAACACGGTAAACTGACTCCAGATTTACATGTTAGAGTGTTTTCAGTCTCTTACCCTCACACAATTCACCCACCCTCCCAGGGGGGCAGTTACAAGTGAAGCTGTCCTTTGTTCGCTCACATGTTCCTCCATATGTGCAGGGATTGGGATAACACGGGTCTGCTCCTGAAAGAAAAAGAAAAGAGGTTTGAATTTAATTGGAACAAGTATTGATCTTACCAAAGTAAATTATGGCAGATAAATCACAAACGAATCCGACTTTCAATCGATGTGTACATGTAATGCAAGAGATACGACTTACAAAAACAAGCCGTCTACTTCTGACTGACAACATTTAGTTAGAAAGTTATAATAAGCAAATTAACTTACTTTCGCACTTGAATCCGATGTATCCTCGAGTACAACCACATTCAAAGTCAGCCTCGCCATGGCTGACACACCGGCCATCATGGTGACATGGATTAGGGCTACAAGGATCCTTAGCTAAATTATCACGTCAATACAAATAAATTACGTGAGACAGGGTTGGATAAATATTGCGTGCTAAATAGCGTGTTCATGGCAGCCATGTTGATGTTCCAAGCAATAGGAAACGTTTTCATAACGAAACAAGAAAAATAAGAGACAAGATTTTATTGTTTGGTAGCGCTAATATCATCGGCGTGCGTCATGTAAAAACATTGTAATTGAAAGCAAGGGCAGTAAAAAAAACAAAAAACAAATCGAGTATGGTTATCTGACGGCCAGTGGTTTTATCTCATGCAAGCTTTGCACATAGGTCAAAAATATGGAATGGGATAGACGATTTAGGGAACAATGTCATGTAGAAATTATATGAGTGACAGATTTTACCTCTTAATAACAAATTCAAACAGTTTACGAGTCAAAGGAAGTGATTTCATGTATTTGTATAGGTAAAGGTATTAATGCAAGCGCATTTAAAAATTTACACTACCAGTGATATTTGAAAGTTTCTTTAAGCGAGTGTAATTTGAAAGCATTTTTTAAAAATGTACCGGTGTTAGTCCTTAATTGCTCAATCTTTCATACGATTACTCTTTTATTATACGACTAAGAAAATTACGAACGCGCTCGCATTAATTTGCCCTGCAGTCAACTTTTAAACTTCACGATAAATTAGCCTGCTTTCAGTCAATCACGATGACGTAACTTGCTCGGTCATACTATAAAATATCTTTTTCTGCTTTCAGCTATTTTAAAAAGCTGTTTACCTTCGCAGTGTGTTCCTTTGTAGCCCACTGCGCAGTGGCATTGGAAAGAGAATCCAAGAGGTTCACAGTGACCTTCGTTCTTGCACGGGTTGGGAACACACAAGTCTTTTTCTAAAACGTTCACATGTGAAAAAACAGTCATTCATATGAGAATCGCTTTCGGTTTGTCTTATCATTGCAAACTGTGCTTCTATGTTGCTCCACAGTTTTTACGAAACAGATTTTTTTAAATTGTACTTTTCTTTTAACATTCCTAGCTCTCCTTTCTTCATCAACATATTATTTTGATTTTATTGAAGTTTTACATGTGAACCGGATACCGACCTCATTTCACATTGTTCATCTTAATCAGATACGCTTACTTCTTACTCACACATTTAACAGAGGTGATTGGATAGAGAGAAATAAATATGTATGTATATTGCAATAAATAAAAACGCGTGGCTTTAAAGTCCTTACTTACCATGGCAACGTTCTCCTTTCCAGCCCCCCATGCAAAGACATTTAAATGTGTTGTTATCCATTCCAAAACATGTTCCATCATGCAGACATGGATTGGACACACACAAATCCTGAACTTTTTTGAAATAAAACACAATAAAATGATGTGAAGTGCATTAGCTAAAGCTGTGGTCGCCTTAGTGATGAAATAGTTGTTAATTTAAGGAAAGTCAACATGGTGAATGAACAACTAAACGACTTAAAATTTTCTAGACGTTGAAAGCAAAAATATACTGAGACTGCCGTAAAGACTGAGACTGCCGTAAAGTTTCATCACTGCAAGCAAATTTCGCAAAATATTTCACCTACTTTGGCATATTTCTCCTCTGTAGCCAGGCTGACATGAGCACATATATCCTTCTTGCTGAAGGGTGCAGATTCCACTGTTTTTGCAGGGGTTTGGAGTGCAGTATTCCTTTTCTATTACAAGAAAGGAAACGTCAAAGCTTGTATATATATTTCCAAGTGTTCGGCTCAAAATGTCACAGTAATTAAATATATGAAAATGCCGTGTATGTTAGAATTGTCTGCAGCATTTAGAACTTAATTTATTTATGTGTCGTCCAGTTATACAGAAAACAAAGGATTGCCCAAGGATCGGGCCAACCATTACGTCGAAATTCCTGCCGAGTTACCAGACTCTTGGGTAACTTGCAAATGTAAAACATCATTTCTTTTACCAGGAATGCATTCAACAGAATAAACTTTACCTTCGCAATCGACTCCTTTATATCCACCTTTGCATCTGCATTTATACCCATCGTCCATTTCAACACACAAGCCGCCATTTTTACACGGGTTAGCGGGTCGGCAGTGATTCTCCACTAACAAGATCACACAAACAATGGTCAGTACGTCTATAAGTAGATTTTTAAATGATACATGCATTTGTGCTGCTATAAGTCAAGAATAGACTATTAGACTATATGTAGACACTTTGACTGTGTTATTACGCAATTTATAACCATTAAGAGGACGGACGCATAAGACTCTGGCATCAATTTGGTAATTTCAAATTCTCGCATACACACTTAAGACTTCGTATTCACCCTAGAAATTTTTTTTCAAAATTTGACAACAGACGCCAGCAGCCCTAATAAATCGCTGTTAGCAAACGTGTTTTAAATAGCTTACTATCAATGAGAAATAAGAGTTAATGCTACTCCTTATTGTCTTATTAAATGAGAATAGCATTGTTATAGTCCCTAAGGGTTCTGTCTTTTTTAAGACAGGCACTACTTTAATAAAATGGTGTCTTTCCGTCCTTTACTGTCTCTAATAAGAAATATAAGGCAGTCTTTCGACTTTCTCTCAAAGGATTACCAAGACTTGGAAGTGCTTTTTTTTTTTATTCATGCAGACCCTTGTTTCAGAGGCAAAACTGTCCGAAAGTCTTTTCCTCTAGCGCACGATCAATTTCTTTTTTTTGGTTGACCTTTGTTTGGTTGGGACCTTTGTTTGGTTGGGTTACACCACGTATACTTACCATCACAGTTTTTGCCTCGAAATCGACTTCTACAAAGGCAGCTGTACCCTAAAGGTGTTTCTTTGCAAGTTCCACCATTAAGACATGGCTCAGCTTTACAAAATTCAACCACTGCAAAAATAAATAGGGGAGAGGACCACCTTATGAATACGGTGTATGGGAATCTTCTTGATGTGATCCTTTGTTTACCTTTCCAGTTTTGTTGTGGGGGTGGGGGGGGGGGGTCCAATTTTGACCTGAGGTAGCTGGATGCACTGAAGGGGGGTGCGGCTTTCCACTTTTATAAAAGTCAAATTTACACAATTTATACTCTGGTAAAAACATATGAATAGTTTCGCTTATTTAGTACCGCTTGTATTTTTCTTCTTTTTTTGAAAAAGCAATATATTACTGACCTACAGGCCCGTGATAACAGAATAGACTAAAAGAAAATTAAAAATCCGTAGTAGGATTTGTAACTAGGAGAAGCGTTCTCCTCACTTCCGGTCTGATAAAGGGTATACAATCAGAGATGAGATAGCAAATTTGAGTTTTGGTTGTAGTGTTTCCAAGCCCACCCTAATGTTTTTCATTTACTTGATTCGCAGAAGATTAATGATGTGTACGCCCATCCAAATTGTCACTAGTAAAGCACAAAAATATGAGAGTGAGTGATTATATTACTTTCACAAGCTTCTCCTTTGTATCCTTGTCTGCAGAGACATTTAAAACCATCGCGAGTTGAAAAGCAGCTGCCTCCATTCCGACAGGGATTTGGAGAACAATTATCCAGGGAATGTTTTATTGCGGCTGGAAAATAAATATCGTAATGAGGATTGGATTAATGGCAACTGACAAAATCAATTTAAACTCAACTCTGTTGAGGAGAGTGCCGCCTCTTACCACTACAACTACAGTCTATGCAGTTCCACTGTGATGGACAGATGCATTCAAAACCCGTGTCCGTTTCTGTGCACGTGCCTCCATTTTTGCAGGGAGTTGTGTAGCAATAACTTGTTTCTGTAACAGAACGGTAAAGGAATAGAACAGTACTGAAATAATATCTTCTTGATGTTCTTTCCTTACGATAAAAAAACAATTGAAAGCTCTATGATCTTTAAACGTGTTTGACTTATCAGCGGACGCAGCATAACAGTAGAAACAGATCATGACATTTAGAAACTGCTTGCTTAAAGAACTTAACTACAGAATACCTTGACATCTCTTGCCACGATACCCAGGTAAACAACTGCACTGGAAGCCAGAGTCCAGCTCTGTACACGAGCCTCCATTTTTGCATGGATTAGTTTTGCACATGGCCTGCTCTAGAAATCAGTAAACCAAAAAACAAATAGACGGAGTCATAGTCTTGGTTAAATTTACCCCTATTGACAGCATAATGTTCATTTATTAGAAGATTGTGTAAATGTGAATTTTTTATTTTATTTGTTTAATAACTTATGTCTAGGATGCCCTAAATTTAGGGAAGCAGTTCCTGTTCAGGGTGTTTCTTCAGTACACTTAATTTGTTCCTTTTTTGAATTGTTACTGTAAAATATGAAGAATATGAAATTAAAGCAAATGTGACGTTTTCTAGCTAGGACATTTTCGGCAACACAGATTGAGATTTTTTTGTTTTAGTGAACCCAATAAAACTCTTTGTGTGAACTTTTCTTTTATATTTAAACGGCACGTGAAAGTTAAAGTGCTCTAGCTCATCTTTCGAGCGCCAAAATTAGAACTTTCAGGTCTAATTTTCAGGTAAGTTAACACGTTTACAAAATGGAAAATCCTGGCGCCCTGGATGGGGCAAAAAGTTAACACCTCTCTGCCTGTAGTGTATAAAATTATGTATTTGTATACAGGTATATTTATGCTTACGGTCACACGTTTTTCCTTTGTAACCAAATGAACAAGTACAATCGAAGCCTCCATTTAAGTCAGTACAGCTCCCTCCATTCATACAAGGGTTTGGTTTGCATCTAGTTCGTAAAACTGAGAAAAAAATTGTCAAGTTATTTTACAAAGGGTGACAGCTTGAGTGCCAAGAAAGAAACATGAAGAAAAAATGTAGGAAAACGACAGCTCGAATTGCAAGGTAGAGGATCAAAGGCAGTCTGCGGAGACGTCAAGATTTAGTTTGTTGTCATGGGAAGTGGATGCCACCCTGCATTGGAATAGACCTTTTTAGACTGGACGGTTTGTTGCCCCATTTCAGACCATGTGATGATACTCTTGAGAATTCTTCCTTTCAAATTTTCAAATAGTCGTATGCGTATGAATAAATAATTTTTAGATGGATAAAAGAACAATTCTCTAGAGAGTATCACGTGGTCTGTAACGGGAAAACAAACCGTGCTAGCGAAAAATGTCTATTTTCTTTACTCCTACTTTACCCTCCGTAAAGGGGGTTTAGTAGTTTTGGGGATATGAAATGTGTGCGGAATTCCCCACCCCTATGCCTCGTGGATATAAAATCAATGAAGAGGACGGTGTGCTGAAATTTGAATTAACCAATTAGGATTCAACAGGCGGGAAAAACTGTACTGTCCTGACGTTAGCAGGAAAGGCATTGAAAATACGATCTCAAAATCAGAGAAGCCCCACCTCATGACCCAGATTTGGTAGGCACGTTAGAGTCTGGTTCAATTGGGTTCCACTGTGACGAACTTTTCCTTCTATGATGCATAACACATAATATATTTATATGACATACCAGTGCACAATCTACCACTGTATCCTCGATGACATATGCATCTGAATCGTCCATGTCTGAGTCTTGTACACCTACCACCATTATGACACGGGTTGTGACGACAGCTGTCGATATGCACTAAGGCGGAACAGAAAAACACCATACAAGAAAAAAATAAAATAAAATAAAATAAAACGAAATCACTTTATTAAGTGTCGTAGTGTTTAGCAATACTGTACTAATTGAGGACACTGAAAAAAGCAAACAAATATTGTAAATTACCCAGAAACTTGCTAAAAATCCCAACTGGTGGAAGGCTGCAGTTGGCTTTATACAAAGCGTAGAGGAGTTGAATTTGGGACTACCAGACACAAATCCAACCAGTGGCAGGGAGAAGGATTTGAACCCGGAAGCTCCGGGCGCCCTAACCACTAGGCCACACCGTCTCCACTAAATAACAGACTTAAAACTACTTTAAAATAACTAAGATTACTGTTTAGTATGGAGCGCTGCGTAAATTTTCTCTTTTGTCTTTTTTGAAGTTCGGGCCAGCTGGTAGCGAGTGCACTGGCTAATCCAAGTAATTCGGAAGTTATGTTTGTAACTAAAAAGCTGGGAAAGACTTGGAAGACTGGAAAATGCGACACGCTCGAGCAGGACATCCCTCTTTGGTATAACTACACGGTGATTAAACATTCTACGAGTAAAGATAAAAGTGTCAACCAATAATAATAAAAAATAACGTTTGTTTACTCTCGGCAGTGTTTATAGCACGAAGGCAAGTTGGGTCGAGTAAACAATACTGAGACAAATAATTCAAATTGAACATAGCATTGTTGTGAGTCCTAACTGGCGGGAGGGAAACCAATTGGCTATTTACAAGCGTGGCCGAGGATTTGAACCTGGGCCAGCGTGAAACAAATCCAGGTAGCGGTCAGCTAAATTCACTCTGCATATGAAGATCAAGGGCTTTCAATTAATGAAACTTATTAGAAGTTATTATAACAAAATGGAGGGCGGACGCTTGCCCAGCTTATCGATAGACACGGTTTATTTATAAAACATACCATGGAACATCGAAAACAGGTCGTTTAGTGGTTCCTCGAATTCCGTTAATTCTTGCTCATCAGGCGTCTCCTGGTAGAAGTAAATTGGCTGCTCAATGGGATGAACCCTTACAAGCTGTTGATGGTAATTTGGTTCAACCTCCATGAATGGAATATTTTGACGTCCTTCAGCGTTTGTTGTCGATTGTTGAAGCGTTACGGGGCGTTTAACGATAAACGCTCGATATAACCGTGGTCTCCTTGGTAAATAACGGTTTCTGTCCGTTGCAAATGAGTATACCACTCTCCCTTTTGGGACGCCATCGTTCATAAAACGCTTTTCCTTTTTAAATTCGGTTCCGTGATCATGGTGTCTTTTACCTGTCACTTTAGTTGTTTTGTCTTTCTTGAAAGCCGCTTGGCAAATTCCGGTTTGGGCTGCCACAAATAAACATATTAGAACGAGTCTGGTGTGGCATTTCCAAGGAGCCACTTTCATGTTAAAACAGAATTAAAGTTTTCAGACAACTTGATCACGCTTAGTAGCAAGCCATTGTAATTGTTAGGTTTTAGAGGTGAAATATAGTTTAATTCTTTATCACTGACGTGGCACCAGGCGTTACCGATATAAGTACATGTTACTACCCGCTGGTCTTTTCGTGAACAAAATACCATCACCAGTTGTTTTGTCTGTCCTGTTTTCATTTCTGCTATGAAAAAGAGATTTGTTTACATCTTGTAGTAGTAGAAGTGGCAAATTCATAGATAATTACACCAGGAACTTAAAAACTACGCCTTGAGGCGTTTATTTTGAAAATCGACAACCTTTGTGAAAAATTTTACACCTAGATAATTCAACATTACAGAACTGATCAAATCTTTTATTTGGTGAAATTTGTGTTTTTTGTCAATTCTATTATTGTTCTATTTCCTGATGCAAAAATGTTAAATGCTTATTTTGTTGGGTGTTACAATATTTCTGTTCAGAATCGCTGGATGAAAAACAAATTCCCTATAATTGTTTAGAGGACATTTTAGTAAGACTGTTTGAAGAGGCTAGATCATGCATTTTTTCAGGATCCCGTCACTGAAATGCAATACGTTGGTTCGGGAGTCAGAGAGATAATGAAATTTATAAAAAATACAACAGCTAAAATTAATTCTTTTTCTTTTAAAACTTCTTAGTTCTCGTTAAAACAAAAGTTCGCAATTTTAAGTATCCTCCTTCCCATGTAGGTTCACCAGACGACTGATAACCTTTATGTTTGACAGTGATAGTAAACAGTAAAGAGTGCCAATTATAAAGTTCCAGTTATGTGTGTGTGTCTTCATGTCCAGCTCCTCCAGATTCTCACTATTGGCTCCTGATCCCCATTTCCTTCGGTCTCCTGACACGAACAGATACTCATTTGTAATACTCTGACCTGGTTTTATCAGATGTGCTCCATTTTTTCGACTCTCTGCTTTTCTGTGAAACAACCTTGACGTTATACGAGAAATTGAAATCCACGGCTTTAACGTGAGGAAAGGTAACTCCCCTTTTAACGGTCACAACTTGCGATTACATTTCAACGTTTTGTTTACATTTTTCTGAAAATACAACTGGCTCTGCACTTTTATGGCAGCTCAATATCTTTCTTATAGTCCCCATTTTTTTTAAAGTTAAACGCACTACATATCCACGGTATCCCATAAGGCTTGGTAATGTGAAGAGAATAAAGTGAACGTGATCAAATAACAACCCATCTAAGGTTAAGTTTTTTCTTACTTTTTGCTTACTAAATTTAAATGCGATTTTTTTTGCTCCGTAATCGTAGCAGCATTTCAAGTCAAAATAAACTGCTAACGGAAAATCCCTGCGAGGCCATAGGAGAAGATCAGCTGCAAGTTCAATTTATACCCTTTTTATATTAGATGATATCAAAATATGGAACCTTAAAATCATATAATGCCGGATAACTGCACTGAAGCGGTTTTTAAGAATGTTTTGCTTATTGTTCGCCTAAATGAAAAGTATAAGTGTAGGAAACCGAATTAATTTTGCCTTTGAGGAGAAGAAAGGGGAGGATTCTTAATTGCAGATTTTTTTAAAGATTAGTTTCTGTATCGGTTTAATACGTTATTATGTTATGCCTGTTAACGATAACGAAAAGCTCAAAGCACTTGGAGCTCTCACCTACACGGTAAGCATATGAGTGCTTTTCATTTGGATATACTCCAGTTTTAATGAACAATAAGGAGATGGCTGCTGAGCGTGAAAAATATGCCATTGCCTTCAAACAGTTAATTGTTTACCATTGAGAGGAAGTAGTGTACAATGTTCATTGTGAATAAGTCCTAAAAAAGCGACGAATCACCGACAGGTTCTCCTGACCTGCGATTTTGTGTGAACCAATGGGACCTCGGAAGAAACCCGTTCTGTCACGTCCTGCCACCTGACATCATTAATTCATAACAACCATATGCTTTGTCGAAAATGGCTACAGTTTAGACTTTTTGGTCGAGTTTGTCTTCATGGGAAACATAATACTGGAAACATGAAAGAATTGTTTATAATCTCATCCATTTACGTATTTTTAGTTGTGTTTGATGGGACTCAGGCGATAAGAGAGGATAACAAATGGAGTAAAGTCTGGCGTCAAGAACAAAATACTGCAACTGTAAAGTGGAAAAGAAATATAGCGCACAAAGCAAAACATCTCAACAGGCTCAAGGTGGAAGCGTCAAATAATAAGAACGATTCTTCACAAAAGAAAAGACAATTTGTGCCCGGAGTGCCCAATTTGTGTCCAGGATGCTTAAACTTTCCACATCCTCATATCCACAGAATTATAGTTCATCACCATCCAGGTAGGTCAATAGCTTTTCGTGCTTTCTAAATATTAAGTGTGAGAGGTCACAACTCGCAGGGTTAGAAGATAATGAAATCAGGACTAAGGTGTTAATGAAAGTAGGGTTAAGGAAACACACGGCCCCAAAAGAATGCTTTTTCTCATCTTACTGTTCAAGTTTCTTCCACTGGAACCTTAGCGTTGAAATAAGAAGATTGTTGGAAAAAGTTAAATACATTTTGATTGATTTTTAATAGAGCATTAGATGTATTTGTAAACTACTGTGAATAGCTTCTCTTAGATTTACAGGACATTTTTGTTATTTTTTTGTGCTATTGTGACGAGCTAAAAGCAACTGAAATACAAAATAACAAATACCAAACCCAAACTGTATTATTTTGCATTCAACTTATCATGATGATGTGACTGCTCAAATGGGTGATCCTGAAGTGCTAGGCTTTTGTTAAACATATTGATCTAGTCCACAGAAATTAGACGCGATTATATATGAACAGGTTTAAAATTTTGCAATAAACCCAAAATCTCTTTTAATAAAGAAAAACGGAGATTTAAAGGCCCAATTCCAAATTCCGTCATTTCATTGTTATTATCTTTACGGAACCTGCTTTGTAAACGCGGTGTCAATTGTTCAAATTAAATTTCTGTTAGGTTTGCTGGTGGTTTATTTTACCACTGGCAGCAAAAATTGTGATTAGCGTGAAAAATAGGAGTGTTGAGTTGGAGCTTAGGACTTGATTAAAACAAACACCAAGAAGACAATAACCTAATCTTTAACCTCTTCTCCCCAGAATCTCTGCTCGATTACCCGACTCTTACTATTAGATCTGCAAATAAACCCTGGCCGGGTTATTGTACTATTCAATTGAACGCAAAATGAGACCGACAGAGACCACACATTTACTATGATCGTTATCTTAAAACATCGGGAAGACATTGTTTAAAAATGTTAAAAATAATAAGCTAATAATATTAAGCTACGAGTATTATTATTATTAACAGGTTTTGTATGGCGATGTACAACACTGATGAAAATAAAATATTATCTTCCGTTGTCACACAAACACTACTTATTAGAAACAAGACTAGAGAAGGATGTTTGATTTAAGGTCGCACCTGTTTCTCAGATTAGTGTATTTATTTGCACCTTAGCTCATTCCACGTGTGAACCAACACCTTGTCAAAATGGAGGGACATGCACTGTGGTGTCTCATGGATACGAATGCACCTGTTCGCCAGGATTTATGGGAACACATTGTGAACGTAAGTTTCATTACGAACTAGTTACGGAATATCCTCAAGGCTTTCCCTTTAAAAACAACGTGACAATACAGTGGATCACCCGGTTCTTCTGTACACTGAGTCTAAGTCTCTGTCACTGAGGTGAAAACCAGCTTGGTTTCAGGAGCTAACCTTGAAACAAAGCTTGCATCGAATTCCATACGAGCCAATTACTGTACATTCATGTACACTGTGGAAGGGCATTTTCATAATAGCTGAATATGCGAAGCAAAAATTAGCTATCATGATAGTTTTTAATACGTAAGGAGTTATGCTAAATTTCATTGGCTGTGTTTCTAAAACATCGTAGATATTTAGTTGTGTCTCGAAGCAGTTTGTGTGCAGTTTCTGCTGCATAGCTGACTCATCATCATGTTTCAGTCAGGAGTCAATGTGAGCCAAGTCCCTGCAAGAATGGGGGCACTTGCTATGACGTTGGACAAGGTTACGAGTGCACATGCGCAAAAGGATTCCGAGGAGAGAACTGTGAGGGTATGTCATTCAAAATATTTCACTTTTTAAATCTAAGGCCGCTTTTAAGAGGATATTATTTTCTATCTTTTATTCCGTATTAGTCGTGACCAAATATTGCAAAGATAACATGGAAATACCCGATATTCTAAGGCAGACTCGCAGATTTTATTGAATTAGCATCCCGTATTTTTATTTATGAGACGCCATAACACGTGCTCCATTTAGAAGCTATTAAATTGTCCTCTGCGACGAGGGACGTTCCAAGAAGACGTTAGGTCACGCAACGTATTGTGAATTTAATGAAACTACCGAGCGATTACTAACAGAATTAAAAAACCTTCAAATGTACAGCAGGTGTAATGATACCGTACGTGTTTATCTTATTACATTTTATGACATTTCCCACTCATGCAGAGCAGAACAAGTGTCATCCAAATCCTTGCAGAAATGGAGGCACTTGCACGGGGATAAATGAGGGCGAAGGATTCGAGTGTACGTGCAGAGAAGGTTTCAAGGGAAAAAACTGCGAAGGTAATTAGAAATTTTTTCATATACTTAGATTTCCTTATGCACAATTTGCTACCGTCGTCGTTCTTGATCTAACAAAGCATTAGGATATGCTGCAAGAGGATATGCTTCTTTTACTTTGGGCGTGCGCAATTAAAATTTGACTTAAAATCCTTTGTTTTGAAAGCTTCATGTAAGCAAGCGACATTCACTGAGATTATCTGCTGTGCCATTTTATCCTTTGGTCATGAATACAAGAAAAATTTTGTTTGTGTTGATTGAATTGTGTTAGTTACTATTCTTTCTTTCTGAAGAGATCAACCTGTGTCTTCCTAATCCCTGTAAGAACGGCGCAACATGTACAGAAAGAACTGGAGGAAGATACGAATGTACTTGTCCCATTGGCTACAAAGGGGTAACTTGTGAAGGTATGTTGTATATATAATTTTCTTAAAAACTGGGTCATTGGGTAATGCAATTCGAGAGTTTTCACTGGCTTAGCCATCGTGGGTTATGAGCCATTATCATGAACATGCTTTCAAATATGGTAAGGGTACGCGTCATTTTAAGGCGTTTTTATTTTCATTTTAGTCTACTTTCCTATATTTTGCGGGCGTTTTAAATAAAACAATTATTCCACTCGCGCTTGTTGGGTATGAGATGATTGTAGTCAACGAAGCGCCTAACGCCGAGTTAGCTATCTACCATCTCATGGAATAACAGTTAAGAGTAATTGCCACTAAAAATCAAAGAAATCGTGGCCACGGTCGAAAAATCGATTTTGCTCATAATTTGCCAGTTTGAAGGCCTAGGTAAGTAACTGACGGAAATCAAGTTAGTTTTTTGAAATAGCCACTATAACGGGAGAAATTCACGAAAAACGGTTATCGCACCGAAAGCTCAGATTTCACTTCGCGATAATCCAAAATTTTACACTTT